TAGTAGCCACAATTGCTGCCCGCCCCCCCTCCCCCCCCATGATGGGTAGACAAGAAAAGAGAAGTGGAATGTAAAGTTTTGGGGAGCTCCTCTGATGCGTATGAGGATCGTTACCTCCAGCAACGCGTTGGTTTGAAAGAAAGGTTTTTGTGTCAGGCCATTGTATAACGCTAGTTTTCTCAAGTTCCTACCTGTCTTTTTAAATAGGACTTTACTGCTGTTCTGACTCTCCCAAGATGTACATAGACAAATAATGGAAGCCCCTGAATACCTTGATTTGGATGAAATCGATTTTAGTGATGACATCTCTGTAAGTATAAGTCTTATTTTATCTGTTCCAAGGGCTACAATTGTTAGGTGTCGCAGTCACATTGTTTTGTTGGTGGTGGCCAAACCCTGCTTTGCCCTTGTGCATGGGGATACCTTATTGTACTTGTTATCTATTATATATTATATTGTTGCATGTCACTTGAATTGAGAGCATTTGTTTATGTACAAGATCTGCCCTTTCTAGTGTTGACCAGGTCAGAGGTCCAGCAGGGTTTTTGGGGTGTTTGGGGTTTTTTTTTTTGTAAATTTGCAGCTTTTATGGTGTAGATAGAATCAGAAGGGCTTTCAAGGATTTTAAAGACTATGTCAGTCCTAGGACTGCTCTTGAAATAATTCTAGTTCAAATTATTGTAAGCAAAAATATTGCTCTTCTGAGTTTATAGACAGATGTAACAATTGTATCAATATCAAAGTATGTCAGTACAAGCTGTTATGATGCAAGGTTAAATCTTATGATCCTCCTTCACTCAGGGTTAAAGTTAGGGCAATTGAATTAACTTTTACCTTCTTGGGATCATGCAGATGTAACCATTAGAGCATAGCAGCCGCTGCACACTCCCAACCAGCAGCTCCTCTTCCTCTTTTTAAACCGCTACAATTAGTGTTTGTCCGCACCTTGAAGTATGCACTTTCCAGTTCTTATAGAAACCTCTGAAGCACTTCATTCCTTCTTTCTAATTATACTTCTGCTACAAGTGTTTCTGCTTTATGAGTGAAACTGTTGTTTATATACCAAATGCCTGTTTAATGAGGGCAGTTTAACACGCACATAATTCTGATGTAAATTACATTTATTAATTTGATTTGCAAGTCACCTGTGCTGTCACTGACAAAGTGAAGCCTACATATCCAAGACCATGATAAACTTCTCTTAGAGGGGCTCATTTTCCCTGCTCTAGTTTATGCTGCATAGTGTTGCCTGCAGCAATATAAATATATCCTCATTAAAAATTGCTCTGCAAAGCAATGCTGTCTCTGTGAGCAAAGGAAACCCTTGGCTGGCAGCTAGCAGAAGGCGGAAGTAGACATTCCCACACCTTCTGCTGGCTGCTATGGCCCCTTCAGCACCTGGTACCTGGCTAGGGTGCACTTCATGCCCTGCCAGCAGGGCTGCAGGCAGAGCTGTGTGGTGGCACCAATTGCTTTATGGGCATGAACGGTGCTCTGGCAGCTTACCCATGGCAGGTGCTCTTTGCTGTCAGAATTTCCAGTGACAGACACAGCCATGGGTAGGCGATGCTAGTGTTTGGGTAGTCAGTCCTTTTTGAAAAGCTCCATGTGCTCTATTCCCAAACAGCTTCCTTTTAAAAGGGATTTCATTTTTACAATGGCTTCTAATTAAATGAGGATAAATTAGAAGATAAGGCCCCAGTTGTGAGAGGATAGGTTTTTCTGGACAGCTGTCTTGTTTATATCTATTACCTACTAGCTTGGGTGTCTCAAACTCACCTGCCCCCTGCCAAACCTGACCCAAACCAGAGGGCTCCTCACAGGCCAGATCTGGGTCAATATCTGGTGGTGGGATGAGCAAGCAGTGGCAACAGCGCGGGGGTTAACATAGCCATTGTTTGCCACCTGCCACTGACACATCCCCAGTGGGCTCTATACCCTGGATTTTGGTGATGGGCCCTGCCTCAACTCATCCCATCCCCAAATCTTCAGCCCCTCTAGGAATCCCATGGGCCAGAAGAGACTGCTCCATGGACCGGATTTGGCCCACAGGCCATATGTTTGACATCCCTATGCTGAATCATGTCCCCATGTGTGTTTCTAGGCACAATTTTACAAATTCTTAGTGAAGAATAGATTTAGATCCAAAGTTGATTAAGTAATGACTAAAAATTGTTAAAACATGGTGAGTGTTCTTGTGGCCCAGTGAAGTGATATGATGGTCTCAGCCCATTTCTGAGTGGACAGGTATACGCATCAGAAGGTCATTCTTTGAGCTGAGTTCCTTGTCAGACGACTCGGCCAAGGGTCACAGATTTTAGTGGGCACAGAGATTGCCCATGGCATCTATGAGCTATTTTATATTACTAAGGGGGGAAAAATATTTAAAAATTTTTGATTGTACATTGGTTCCTGAATAAAGAGAAACTCTACCTTTTTTCTTCTGTTTTTCAAACTCTTAAGCTACCATGGTTTAAGTGCCACATATTGCAGATTTGTGTTCAGGTTAAATAACAGAGTCGGGTTATGTGACCCTTATTTAAATTACACACACATCATTGTGTTCAAAATGACATTAAGTATTGGAGTCACATGGTTTCATTTATTATTATTATTATTATTATTATTGTGAGAGAGCAAGGTACAATCCCCCAGAAGAGCAGGAACTGGATAAAAGTGACTTGGTGGGCATATCTACACATGCAGTTAATGCACCTGAATTTTCTGCGCAGAAAATTCAGGCTCATTAAAGCACTCCCCAGCGCATGTCTACACGTGTGCCCCCATCAGAAGTAAATTGAGCCCAACAGGAGCAACCCAGTCCAGGGCTTATCCTGCCCTGCTCTGTCCCCCTGCAGCAGCCAGGGGGAGCTCCAGACTTCCCCAGGGGCATGGAGGCTTAGCCCCAAGCTCCAGAGGGCAGAGAGAGCTGTCCCAGTTCAGCAGGAAGCTGCTTCTCAGCCACATGGAGATCTTGAACTGTCCTGATCTCCATGGGGTAGAGAGCTGTCATGGCCAGCAGGCAGATGCCTGGCAGCTGTGACAGTCTCCTGTCCCTTGCTGCCTAGGCTGATCAGGAGCAAATTGCTCTGGGTCAGTGTCTACACATGTGGTAAGGTGCATTAGTTAATGCACTATTTTTCTAGTACCTCTATCTACAAACACTAGAAGATGGTGCATTACACTAATATACTGTGCAGTAATAGCTGCACATGTGTAGACAGTGATGGTTTACTGTGTGCATTAGATTAGTTTAATGGACAGTAAAGCATCTCATATAGACACACCCAGTCTGTAAGTAAAAGGTTGTATTTTATCTCTGATATGCTTTTTAAAAAGTCAGGGTGCACAGCTTTAACCTGCTGCTTTTCCTTGGCAGAAACATTCATAAAATCAGTCCTGTTATTTAATTTTAATCTGTTTTAATTATTACTTGGTGATTTCTCTGTTCATTAATTAAAATGCAAACCATCTATTGCACACTCATGTTATGCAGATTAACATTACGTGTATTACTGATTATTGTAACAGAGAGGTCATACCAAATATGCCAATCAAATCCAGGGCCCCTTGCATTAGATGTGGAATAACATACAGGAAGGCAGTGTATTCACTAATGATCTTAAAGCAGGGGTTGGCAATTATTTTGGCTCGAGGGTCACTTAGGGAGTTTTAGCGAGTTGTGGTTGCTTGGGTCTGCACCCCTGCCTCCACCTCTACTCCTGCCACAGTTCACCAAAACTCCCTAAGTGGCCCCTGCGGGCAGCTGGAGTGGGGTTGTGGGTGAACAGGGAACAGTATGTGGGAGCAGGATGGGCTGGTGGGGCTTGGGCCAAGGCTGGGCTTGGGCTTGTGGTTCAGGGACAATGCAGGACCAGAGCAGAGCCTCAATCAACTGCCCACTTGCCCCTGTGACAGGCACCGGTTCTGCGGGCAGAGGAGTACAGGGAGTAGATCACAGCTTTGCCCTAGGTCCTGGTCTCGCATTGTCAGTGCCCAGTGATCTTGGGGTCTCCATGGAGACTGGCTAGGACCCGTGCAGGCAGGGTGGGCAGCCAAGCAGACAGGATAGGGCCACGAGCAGGAAGACAGCTGCATCTGGGAGCAGGACAGGTGTGTGGGCCAGACCTGGGATCTTGGTTGGTGACAACATGGGGCTGGGTTCTGGAATAGAGCCATGATCTGCTCCCTCCACGTCCCTACCCTCAGAATGAGTACCCGTCACAGGACCATGCAGGCAGCAGATTGCAGCTTTGCCCTGGGCCCTGGCCTTTTGCTGGTACTGCCCTGCAATCCCAATCCCCAGCCCCACACATGCATCGCGCTCCTTGACGCTGCTCCCTGCCCTTGGCTGTGGGTGTGGGGTAGATGGGCCGGCATGCCTGGGCAGTGAGCCTAGGTCCAGCAATAGCAGGTGGAAGGAGTCACCACTGAAGCTGCTGGGAAACAGAGTCTGGCTCCTGTGCTGCCCAGCCCCTCTGTATGCCATGGGGCTGTGGGACTAGCCACATGTGCCAAGACTCAGTTTAACCCATACAGTTTAACCCATAGAAGTTTAGGGTACAGTTTAACCCATAGAAGAGCTACATTAAGGCAGTTGTAAGTTTGTGATGGTTGCAGGGTAGCTGTTACTCACTTGATGATTTGACTCATCTTGAATTATCAGCCTTTTCTCATACTTATCTTTAATTATTGCTCACTCTAATAATGCATGATTGGCCTGGAGGGGGTGGTTACAATAGACCATACAATGAATGTGAGCCAACAGTGTGTTCTTGTTGCAATAAAGACAACGGCATACTTGGTTCTATTGACAGGAATGTCTCTTGCAAATCGAGGGAGGTGATTTTACCACGCTATTTGGCACTGGTGAGGGTCCATCTGGAGTACTGTGTCATTCTCAACCTGGATGCCAGGCCACTCTGGGGTGCCATGACCCTCTTGCAGGGGTACCGCAACATGAGTTCCGCCATAGCCAGGCTAAACTTCCCCCACATGCTTCCTGGAGAAAGAGATCAGGCAGTAGCTGTGGCTGGAGCCTATGTTCTTCCTGCAGTCCTTCCTGGTCTGATCCCACATGTTCCTCCTATGCATGCTAATCACACCCATTGGTGCCCACAGTTTGTTTCCTCACAATCATACCATCCGCCTACTGTTTTCTCGTGGGTTATGGCTGCCATTATTCTTTGGTCTGCTGTTTTAATATGTGCACAAATGAATTCTGTATTAATTAAAACAGTGTTTCCCAAATGGTGTGGCATGACCCTGAAGGTTTCTGTGGTGAACGCAACTAGAGGCAAGGGGAATGTG